GCGCCGGGCAATTCATTAGGCTTTCTTCTGTTGGCGCCTCGCAGACACATCCGTAGGCGGGATTTACGCGTTTCACATATAGTGCGGTGTACAATCGAGGGAGACTTTTCCCTAAGGGAATTTTCGCTTTCGCCGTTCCCCACCCATCTCCTACGGAAACCCACAATTCAAATTATACGGCATCCCTGGCAGTAGCATGCCAGTCGCCAACAGGGCATCCATTATTGTCTCTAGCTAGCAAGTAGCGATGCGAAGCATCCACGCGGCCGGCTTACCTCCGCTCACGGGCAATATATTAGGGACTCTTTTGTCGCTACGCCTCGCAATTGAGACACCTCGCCACGTCAGTCGCCGGCAGGCACGTGGTTGTGGGGGAAGTTCATCCTCCCTGCCCCACATCAGACAGCAATTCAATGCCACGCTTGCGCGAATCAAAAGTTTGCACACCATGCGCGTCGTCATGGCGAAGATCATCAATCCGCCGATCAGCATCCCCCATTCCCCTGGTCTAACGCACTGGTTTCGCTTATTCAATCTCAATCCACATTGGATTAGAAGCACCCTCAGGGGTTTTCTCGCTTGAAGATCCTCGTGTCCAACAGACAGCTTTCACGCCATGGCGTCGCTTCATGCTGCCTCCGTGTCGCTCTCTCCCTTTGCTGCTCTCGGGACCCCACTGGATCGCCATCCCCGATGCAAGCTCTCTCTGTCAAGGTAATACATTTTTCCTCTATCAGCCGAACACATTCTGATCACTCGATGCAGGACGCGGGGTCGATTACCGGCCGTTAGAGCTTGAACGTAGCAGTTCTTACGTACTTTGGCTTATGTCATAAGAGCTTCCGTTTGGTATACGCCAGTATTACTAGAACCGCTCTGCGTATCCCTGAGAACTATCACCAATTCTCATCTACGCCGGCGCCGCCCGTGACCTTCTAGTCCGACTGGATTTGAGTCAAATCAGTTTTTGAGAATTCTAAAAATCGGATTCAGCCTCTAAACATTGCGCTGGCTTTCCAAGATCCGCAACGACGTGATCAATGATCCAACTCGGATTGTTCCAATCCAACTTGAAGTTGAACTTCAATATCACAACGACGCGTCCGTCCCCTTCTTTGCAGCTTAACCTCCTCCTATGGCGGCCTCCGCCTCTCCGCCGCGCCGAGGTCCGCGGTGGCGCGCGGCAGCCGCCCGCCAAGGGCGACTCCGCTCCGCGGCTCCTCTGCCTCTGCCAGCAGCAGCGATCGCGGCGCCTCGGCCGGCGACGGCGCGCCGTTGCGTCAAAACGCGCTGACGAACTTCAGCCCGCTCACAACGGGAGTGGCGACGGGAAAAGCGGCGCAATGCGTCCCTGTCGACCTGCGGCTGGCCGTGCTGCTGGGCGGATTCGCGTTTGAGGCGTACTCGACTCCGGAGCAGGTGTGGTGTGGGTACATGCTGGCTAGTTTGAGGTTTCTTGGAGGCTCGCAACCTGAGGTTACATCAGGGTGACCTCGCCCTCATACTAGTTTGAGGAGAAGGTGAATTTAGTGGGTCCACTGTAAGAGAGGGGCAATGGAGGAAGGAAAAGGAGGAGGGATAGATAATGGTGGGTTGAGGCAGCAAGGGAAGGTGGTATGGACGAGGCAGGTGGCTGTGGGGTCTGGGAGGAGGGGGGGGGGGGGGGGTGGGGGGGAGGGATAAGGACAGCGGTTTTGCCGGATGCTGCACCGTTTGAGATGTCTCAGAAGTCGTTCAGAACATTTCATTACACATTGGTAATAATAACAGTAATATTACCAAATAAAGTATATTAGTTATAATATTAGCAATAATAATATTAATTTAGATAACACAAATTGACGATCCATAGACATAGACGGGCGCTAGTGCTGTGATGTTTCCTTCTCAAAAGCTTCCATTCTCTCATCCTTCCCATACCCCCAGGGGAGCGATAAGCTCTCGGATAAGGACGGCCAGGGGTGCAAAGCTCGCTTCACCTCCACGCCCTTCGCCCACGAGCTCTTTCAGGGGCAGCTCTCCGTGCGAGCACTGAAGGCCACCGTATGTCATGCCACACTGCCACTTCCTCCTCACTCCCTCGATCTCCCACCTACTCAACCCCTTTCTCACTCATTCACTCATTCCCTCATTCGCCCTTTCACCTCTCTTCACCTCCAGTCGTTTGGCACTCGAGCACTTTCAAGGGCAGCTCTTCGTGCGAGCACTTCTTGTACCAGCTTTATGATTTCTCAAGAGTGGTGATCTGCTCTCTTTGTCGTTCATTCGCTCATTCACTCACTTTCTCATCACTCACTCTCATTCACTCACTCACCCACTTCCATTCATTCACTCACTCACTTTCTCAATCACTCACTTCCATTCACTCACTATCCCATTCGACCTCACTCACTCACTCTTTTCTTGATCACTCCCTCCTCCCTTCCATTCACTCATTTACTCATTCAACCCTCCCATTCACTCACTTACTCATACAACTTACAAGCCACTACATTCCATCCTGATCCCCTCACCCTATCCTCTATGCTTCAGGGGAAGATAAAGGCGCGCCATGCTGAGCTGAGGCGACTTTTGAGTCGCCTCACAAGCCACCCCATTCTCTCACCCCCTCTCTCATTCACTTCACTCTACTCCTTCTCTCACCCCATCCTCCATCCTCTATACTTCAGGGGAACATCATGGCGCGCCATGCTGAGCTGGCGCTGGTGACGTCAGCAGGGAAGCCCGCCACGTGGAATGGCGTCGCTTGCACCAGCAAAGCTGAAAAGTGAGTTGGCGCCTGTGTTGCCCTGCCACACTCGCCCATGGACACGTCCCATTCTCACATTCATTCTCACATTCGTCTTTTGGAGATTCCTTGGCAGAATGCCATCAGTCACGTCACCCTCAGCATGAAGGCTCCAGTTTGAGCCGGCTCTGTGCTGCTCTGCCATACTCGCATGGACACATCGCATTCTCTCACTCATTCTCATATCCGTTCTCGCATTCGTCCTCGCATTTATGGTCACATCACATCACAGCCAATATCACGTGCCCACAATTCGTCTTCTCTCCGCCTGCCTCCCCCTCCCCCTTTCCTGCTTCTCCTCAGCTCGAAGTACCCATCATGGGGCCAGCAACTGCAGCTGCTGGCGCCTCGTTAACCAACTCACCCAGTTGATTCCTCTCTTCCACCCCTCCTTCACCACCTACCCAGCTCCCCTCCTCCCCCCCTCCCACCTCCCTGCTTCTCCTCCTCAGCCTAAAGAACCCATCATGGGGCCAGCAACTGCAACTGCAGCTGCAGCTGCTGGTGCCAGGGATCCTGCTGTGGATGGTGCCCCGTGATAACACAAGTGTTTTGAGACGTCTCAAAACTCGACGTCTCAAAACTCGGACGTCTCAAAACTCGGACGTCTCAAAACTCGGACGTCTCAAAACTCGGACGTCTCAAAACTCGGACGTCTCAAAACTCGGACGTCTCAAAACTCAGACGTCTCAAAACTCAGACGTCTCATAAGTGTTATTTACATCCACTTCCACCCCTCCCCGCCTACCCGTAACCCGCCCTCCCCTCCTCCCCCCTCCCCCCTCCCTGCTTCCCCTACCCAGCCTGACGAACCCATCGTGGCCCGAACAACTGCAGCTGCTGGTGCCTCGTGCTTCTCCCTCTGACACCTTGCTGCAGGTGGGTACTGCGACGTGTCAAACCTCATCCTGCAGCGTTTGACACCTACCTTCAGGTAATTGACTATCAGCCCAAAGAATGCTTCACGGTCCGAACAACTGCAGCTGCTGGTGCCTCGTGCTTCTCCCTCTGACACCTACTTTCAGGTGGTTATCTTCAGGTCATCCAGTAATTCTCTCTTGGCCCTAGGTTTTGCATTATTGGCCCCAGGTGGTGCTCTGTTGGCCCCAGGTGGTGCTCTGTTGGCCCCAGGTGGTGCTCTGTTGGCCCCAAGTGGTGCTCTGTTGGCCCCAGGTGGTGCTCTGTTGGCCCCAGGTGGTGCTTTGTTGGCCCCAGGTGGTGCTCTGTTGGTCCCAGGTGAATCTTTCCTCCCCCGACGTGACGTAGATGCTGCTGGTGCTCCTGATGCTGCTGTTGCTGCCGGTGCTGCTGATGCTGCTGACGATGCTGATGTTGTTGGGATATATTTCCAAGGGCAGTTGCGTTGCGACAACCTGTCTTTCTCTCTCCTTCTGCCCCCTCACCGTCTCATCAACCTGGCTTTCTCCCTCCCTTCTGCAACTCTCCTTTCTCTCCTCTCTGCCCCTCACCGCCCGTCCGCCCCATCAATAGATCAACTTGCACGGTTGGGATGCTGAACGACGGTGAAGACAGAAACGATCGTGTGCTGCCTCTTGAGTCATCTCAAAAGTCTTCCATCTCTCCCTCTGCCCACTCACCGTCCCATCAACAGATCAACTTGCACGGTGGGAATGCAGACAACGCCGACGATGACGACACAAACAATGGTGTGGTGACATTTGAGTCGACTCAAAAGTCCTCCCTTTTCTCCCTCTGCCCCCTGACCGCTCCGCCCCATCAACAGATCAACTTGCACGGTGGGAATGCTGACAACGACGATGACGACACAAACGATTGTGTGGTGACGTTTGAATCGACTCAAAAGTCCTACCTTCTCTCCTCTCTGTCCTCTCGCCGCCCCATTCATCAACAGATCAACTTGCACTACTGGAATGCTGACAATGACGATGACGACACAAACGATTATGTGGTTGGCACGGCCACCATTGCCCTCACTGACTTGATCAAAGGTGGGGTTGAGGAGGATGTGGTGTGTGAGTGAAGGTGACTGTGTGGGTGGCTTGGCACGACCACCATTGCTCTCACTGGCTTGGTCAAAGGTGGGGGTGAGGGTGTGTTAGGCGCTCCACTTGTCTCCATCCTTCGTGTCCACTCATTGCTCTAAACCGCTCTCCACTGCTCGCCACTGCTCTCCACCACTCTTCACTGCCCTTCACCCTCTCCTTCCCTCTCCATCCCTCTCTGTGCGCAGGTTCAAACACCCAGATTCCCGAGGTCGTAGGGCTTACGCTGACTCACGACGGCAAAAAGACAGGCAGTGTTTCCATGGAGGTATGTGCGAGGGAGGTGGGTTTGGGGTAGGTGTGGCTGGGGTGGGTAAGTTTGGAGGGGTGCATAGTGGTTGGTGGGCCTTACGCCGACTCACGATGGCAAAACGACAGGCAGTGTCTCCATGGAGGTATGTGTGTGGGAGGGAGGTGCATCTGGGGTAGGTAGGTTTGGATCACGAATGTAGTCCTTCTCTTTGAAGTTAAGCTACCTGTGCATGTGCGTTGTTGAGAAGAAATTAATCGTTCTCTGAGAAGCGATTTTTACTCCACTGTCAAGAAGCTTTTACATATTCCGTGAATCTGTAACTGCGACTGACTGTCCATAGCCCCGTGCAACTTTTGAGGCGCCTCAAAAAGCGTGCAACTTTGGAGGCGCTTAAAAAATCGTGCAACTTTGGAGGCGTCTCAAAAATCGCTTTTACATTCTGTGGATCTGTAACTGTGACTGAGTGTCCATTGCCCCGTGCAACTGTCACTGCCCCGTCCTACTCCAAGCGTCTTGCTTGCTTGCCTTGCTCACTCCCCTCCCCCTTTGGCAGGTGGGCTATACAAGCTTCTCCGATCCTCGCGAGAGGTAGGGGGGGTAAGAGAGAGAGGGAGAGAGAGAGAGAGAGAGAGAGAGGGAGAGAGAGGGAGAGAGAGAGAGAGAGAGAGAGAGAGAGAGAGAGAGAGAGAGAGAGAGCCCAAGCCAACGCCCTCAGGGATAAGACCCATGAGGCTCTTACCGCGGATGCGCTAGGCCTGCAGGGACCGTTCACCCCACTGAGCGAAGGCCAGCTGTACCAACTGATAGAAGACCCCTCCGGCCACTAGGGCCAGGAGGGAAAAGGGGCGGCAGTAGTGGGTGTTTTCATTTCCGGCGGAGAGAGAGCGAGAGAGAGAAGGCCTTAGCATCCAGCCCTCTCCCTCTTCCCTCTGCCCTCTCCCTCTGCACTCTATTTAAGGGGCCCTCTGTGCCTTCCCTGCCTCATTATTTCGTGGGTGTTTTCATTTCCGGCGGCTCGCGCCGGCGGCCTTCGGCCGCCGCCGCGCGCTCCTGGTGGCAAGACACTAAACGAGTGTACATCATATAACAGGCTCAAACACACACACACAAGGCAAGGAGCTGGGCAAGAGCAAAAGGCGCGGCATGCAATTCTACACGCGGCGGAGGCCTACATCGTGTACGGCTCCGCCCCCTCCATCTCAAGCATCGAGCGCATGCACGCCGATACTGCAAGAAGGAGATGCGCCGACGACTGGAGCGTGTCCAAGGGGGTCCCGGCTTGAGCAGCCCCTACAAGATCCCCCACGTGGCGGGGGAAAGTACGGGCTAAGGGAGCTACCCCGGCGGGCGCTTCCGACACGGGTGCCAACGGCGACTCAAGCGATTCTGCCAAAGTCACGCAGGATCCTCGGGATCCTGGACCGAAATTGCTCGGAAAGCTCCGCGTGGCCCCACACACCGCCAGCTGCAAGTTTGCCACCCCCTCGCACGCCTCCGCCGGATTCAGTATCCGGCACATGGTCAGCATGGGGTCTTTCCCCGCGCGAGTGGGGGGAGGTGCAGTCGGCGCTTCGCGCGGATACGCCGACGGCCAGCCAGAAGTCCGGCCAACAGTTAAGCGCGGCGCAGAGAAGCCGGGAACCTGATGGGGGGTGCGGAATTGAGTCCTCCCCTCACGCACGGGCTGATATTCGCGCAGCGTCGGTGCGCGCAGAGGAGCAACCTGGACGGGGTCCGCGGCGAAGGGGGGACCGTTGGTCACCTCAATGTGGACGTGAGTCGGCGCCCCACTCGCCCGGGCCTACCTCACCACCTCTACGAACGTGTTCGCGGCGCGATCGAGGGCGGGATCCGGCTGGGGGCCATTCCCGCCCCGCCCTTCGCCATTCCGCCGGCCCCGCCGTCCCCCGGAACCAGCCGAATGTGGACGCGAGGGAGACTGCTCGCGGCGACCCGAATCCCAGCGACGCCCAGGCGACCCCCTCCCCCGCGTCGCCGGAGATCGCTGCGGAGAGCGTTGCGCGGGGGATCGCGCTCGGAGTGAGTGCTGGCCTGCCCGACCACGAGGGGATGGGCGGCGAGGAGAGCGAGGACATGCAGGGGAGCGCTGATCCCCCTCCCCGCGCTGATAGTGCTCGCGACGCTCAGGAGAAGGGCGGCGAGGAGAGAGCTGCCGAGGAGGCTGACGTGGAGGCGAGCGCGCGCGATCATCCCGCGGCTGACCTTCCGGACGGTTCGACGCAACACGTGCCGGCGCCCACGAATACTCCGGCGAGGTGGGGCGCGCGGCAGGCCGATGGGGTAGTGTTTGCACCCGCTCGAAGCGGCGGACGGGCTCGCTCGCGGAGGGGTGCGCAAGGAGACGCGGACGGGGCCCGGGAGGCGCAGGCTCCGGCAGCGCGCTTTCCGCGGAACCCTCCAGCTCCGGATCCCGTCTCGCGGATGGATCCATCACCCCCGATCGTACCGCAGCCGACGCCAGCGCGCCGACGAAGCGAACGCGAGACAGTCGCGGTGCCGCAGACGGGGCGCGAGGGAGCGGCTGTTGGAAGAGCAACGCGTGGAATCCGCGTGGGACGTGGCAGCCGCCGTGGACGACGAGGTAACGAGAGAGGACGAAGAGGCGGTGGAACACGGGGTTCAAACAGGCGCCGCACTGGCGCAAGCGGCTACGCGAGGAATGCGGAAAGGCTGATGCGAAACGGCGCGGAGGGCGGCGAGGAACCGCCTAGCGAGGAGGCAGAGGAGGAAGTGGAGAATGAGGAGAGCGACGAGGGTGACCCCGCTTTTAACCCTGAAAGAGAGGGGATGTTGGGAGCAGAAGCTGAGGATGACGAGGAGGAGTTAGAACTTTTGCTTCGAGGAGAGGAGTTGCCCAACCCAAATGTCCGAGGCGAACCTGTCAACCGAACCACAGCCCAGAACCGAGCCGCGGGGGAAACCACGCGAGGGGGGGAAATCGAGCCGCGACAGAGACTGGAGTTGACTCTGCGACGGCCAATGAGAATGCAGCAGCCCCAATTCCAACCCCCCCAATGCTCAAACCCGACGACCTGGCGAAAAATACTGACCTGTTCGCCCAGGTTGCCAACTGGGACATTGGCCTGCTGCGAGACAGTCGCCAACCCCCAGTTGCCCGCCACCCTCCAAAAGACCTTCGCGAGTCTTTCGCGATCTGCCTGCTGACACCGCTACTCCACCTGGCAGCCAACCCCGAGTCAGAACCTGGCTGGTTGTTACTCACCTTCCTCCCTCGCCTTCTTCTTCGCTCCTCGTCAGCCCGTAAGCCTGATTGGAGCGCGATGATGAACAGGCTCCTGCGTTTTCGCCAGGGGCTGTGGGCCGGCCTCTACGAAGAAGCTGCCGAATCGATCTCCCTCCCCCCGCAGCCTCGCCACGCCCCTGACACAACTGGAATTCTCGCCAGAGCGGAGGGCCTGGCAAAGCGTGGTAACCTCTCAAAATCGTTGCAATCCCTGCAAGCCACGCCCGTTTCGCCCGCCTCACCTGAAGTTCTTGAGGCCCTCAGGACGAGACACCCACTCGCAACCCAACCGCTACCTGATTGGCTGCACGCTGCCACGGCGGAAAATCCTCCCGCTATCGAAGCCCGCGACCTCAGAAGGATCATCGCCAAGCTCCCCAATGGAGTAGGGGCGGGCCCCTCGGGAACTACCTTCGAACATCTCCGTGATGCAGCACTGGGAAACGCTGAAGTCTTCACCCACCTCCTAGCCCTCACCAACACGGCGCTGGCAGGGAAGCTACCAGCCGTTGCGGGAGAGCTACTTACCGCCTCTCGTCTTTTGGCCTTCACGAAACCCCACGGTGGGACGAGGCCGATCGCTGTTGGGGAGTGCCTACTTCGGATCATCGCCAAAGCCGCCCTTTTCCTGATCGCGCCCGCCGCTAGATCTCACTTCGTCCCCCTACAGTTCGGCGTGGCGGTAGCGGGGGGCATCGAGGCCGCTATACACACGGCACGTACTTACCTGGAGGCCCATCCCGCGGCAGTTGCGCTACAGATCGACCTCGCGAATGCGTTCAACGCGGTCGAGAGGAGCGCGGTGTTCGAGGGGTTGAGGAACGAAGCGCTCGAGAGCCTCACCCCCCTGGTCCGCCTGTCTTACGGGGTCCCCTCCTCGCTCTTCCTCGACCATGAGTTCGCAGCGGCTCCACTGCAAAGCGCCAGGGGGGTCCGCCAGGGTGATCCCCTCGGCCCCCTTCTATTCGCCGCCAGCATCCACCCCTGCCTCGTCGCGACGGCAGCGGCTCGCCCGCACGTGGTCCTACTCGCCTACGCCGACGACATCACGCTGCTGGGTGATGCGTCTGCCTGCGCCGCGGCCTTCGACCACCTCACAGCCGCGCTCGCCTCCCTGGGGCTCCTTCACAACCCTGCTAAGTGCGCGGCTTGGTCCGCCGCCCCAATTGACCCTGCCTCCGTCCCCCCCGGCATCACCATCTCGACCGAAGGGCTGCAGATCCTCGGCAGCCCCGTTGGCACAACGCAGGGCTGCGCCGCGGCTGTCAGGGACAGACTTACGGCAGCAGCGCAACCGCTCCCGTTGCTAGCGCAAATGGATCCGCAGCTCTGCCTCCTCCTCCTCACACGTTGCGTCAGCCGCCGCGCCTCCTTCCTAGCAAGGACAACCCCGCTGGAGGTCCTGCCCACAGCAGAATGGTCGGCATGGGGGGAGCGGCTGCTCCACGCGTTCCTAGAGGCCGCGCACATTGTTGCGCCAAGGAGCAACGCGGAAAGGAGGCGTATTTGGCGGCAGGCAGCGCTCCCCGTTACCTTGGGGGGTTTAGGCATTACGGACCCGGCGGTGGAGGGGACTTACGCGTACCTGGCCTCGGTGGTCGGCGCGGCTCACCTCCTGCACTCGCTAGCCGACTCCCTACACCCCGCCATAGCCGCACTGCTCCCCCTTATGGACTCCGCCCCGGACTCCGCAGCGGCCCTGCCCTCGCGCCTAGCTGCAGCTGAAGCGGCCCTGCCCCCTGACGGCCTGGAGGCCCTTCAGGCTGGTAAGAGCGACCCCAAGGGACTGAAGCTCCAGCAGTCCCTGGCCCTGGCGGTCCACACCCGCCGCTACCTCCGAGTGCTGAACACGGCGCGGCGCATGCGCCCAAACCCCCTCTCAGGGCATGCTCAGCGGATGCAGTCCCTGCTGGGCCCGGGAGCAAGGGAATGGCTGCTGGCAATCCCACTCTCTTCTGCGCTGAGGCTGGGCCCCTCCCAACACTCTACTGCCTCCTCCTTCCGCCTAGGCCTCCCCCTCCCTGTCCCAAGGCGGTGCGACTGCCGATACCGCACCACCTTCCCTGATGACCGCCTCCCGAATCACCTTATGCGCTGCGAGAAGGGGAAAGGGAGGACTGCCACACACCATGCTCTCAGGGATGAAATCGCAAGGATAGGGGCGGAAGCAGGCTTCACGGTTCACAAGGAGACCTATGCCTACTCTCTGGTTGAAAACCTTAAAGCGGATGTCTCCATCCGCCATCCCCTGACCGGAGAGGTGTGGCTTTGTGATGTGACCGTGACTGACCCGGTGTCCTACCAGGACGAGAACTGCAACCGC